GTCCACTCCTCATCATCATAATAGAAGTTTCTTTCGTATCACATCTGTACCTTCTATTCTCTATTGCAGTAAATTCTCTTTGGCAAGCCCTTGGTTCTCCATTTCCACTGAACAGCTCCACCCTGCCACTCCTCTACGAAAAGCAGGACCCACCCACCGTGCCCCAAAGTATTTATCATTCAGTCAAGTTCATCACTGAAAGGTCTTCCCCACGATCTGCAGGAAGAAGGCACTTCTATCCCACCCCCAGTCTTCCAAGCTCGCGGACCTCTATGCTACAAGCATGTTTCTTTGCCATTCCCCAAAGATTGAACGATGCCCGCCCTGATTCCGGGCCTGGCGGCAGCATCCTCGACGATCCCAAGGCCAAGTGCAATCTCAAGCACGAGGACACGTTGACGAAGGCGGTCAGCCTCAGGGCCCTGTGTCGGACCCGCAGGAGAAGCACTCGGATGAGAGTGACGTTCAGGAGGTGCCGAGTACTCGTACTCGTACGAGGGCACCTCCGCCCCTGCTTGACCGGAATGGAGAAGTCCACTACCACGTGGAGTGGATCCTCCAGGAGCAACGGCGTCGCGGTAAGCAACAGCTCCTCGTGAAGTGGAGGGGTTATGCCCACCCCGAGAACTCGTGGGAGCCGATTAAACGGCTCCTGATTGATTGCTCGAAGGCTGTCGCAATCTGGGAACAGAAGCAGCGGCAGATTCATAAGTAGTCCGGGGCTTCTTGCCCAAACGGGCTACGGACGTAGAATACACTCCGTACCCGCGCTCATCGTGAGCAGTAGAAGCCGCGCGCTTCCGGATGTCCCTTGGCAGCATGCGCTTGCTGGCCAAGTGGGCAAACCGAACACGAAGATCACGCTGGTCCAGGATGCGGGACAACAGCTGATCTTCATGGAGTTCCCGTAACTTCGAGAGTGAGTGCTTGAGAGACTCCAGCCATGCCCAGAGCATGTCCTCACAAGAACTCCACGTGGGACAGTTCTCGGGCAGAACCCAGGAGTATCCCCAAAGAGGATAGAGACCACCCTGGTTCTCGGGCTTCTTACGTAAAGTCCTCAATTGGGATGCGGTGTGGCGCGAAGCACACATTGAGCAGCCTCCAAGCTGTCAACGAGCAACTGTTCCTTCTGGACAAGGGCACGCTCGTAAATTTTCCTAGAAGTGAGGCCGCCCACAATACCATGATGAGCGATAAAAGGCTCTGGGAAGAGGTCAGCCCCAGAGCTCTCCTCGGGAGGCCAATACCCTCTTGAGTGGATGGCAGCTCCCTGGCTGACGGGTGCCACCACCGAACCCCCACGCGTACGCTGGGCAGCTTGGAAGTCCTCCTGCTGCTGGTCGAGGTCATTCAAGACCTCCCGAGGCTCAGCGATAGCACCCGCTTCCTCCTCTTCCTCCTCATAGTCCTCTTCATCCGAGGAACCGAAGGGGTTCCGATTGGTGTACCCAGTCTCCTTCTCTTCGCGGAGTGGAGACCTCGAAGTCGTACACTTCTTAGAAGGCTTAACGCCTTCGGCTTTCGCAGCGTTAGCAAGCGAGAGACACTCGGCAAGCGAGAGATGTTTGCGAGGTTCCCCTCCTCGCCGTCGCCAGCTTTGGAAGTGCACTAAGTCTTGACGGCCGGACTCTCAGAGCGCACATACGTCCTGGGACTGTGATCACCGTGTCACTAGAGAGCGACTGCACGCTGTCATCCTTGAGCTCGCTGGGCACTAGGCTGTGCCCTCCCGTAGAGCCCACAGAGGCATCGTGCGTGCTCTCGGATTCGGCTTCGTCCTCACTGCCAGATTCGAGCTCACGTTCAGCGAACCGAGAGCTCGGACGATTGTCTGGGGAGGCCGCGGGCGACGGACTGCGGCGCTTGCTCGTACGCTTGCCCACAGCCGCACCACCAGTTGAGCCGATCGCCTCGGAGTCCACCTTAATAGCCTCCTGGAGTGCCGAGCCTTTGCCGTGAGGCTTGGTGCTCTTGGCTTGCGCCTTTCCGGCAGCGACCTTGGATCGTGTCTTCGCACCGCTCTTCGCAGAGCCAAGGGGCATGGAAACCGTCGATGTGGAGACCAAGAAGAGGAGCGCACAGACTGCTGCTCGAGGCTCTAACTGTGAAGTGAGCCTCCGCCGCGCTCGCGCGGCCAAGTCGATGTTTTTCGACTTTGAGAATGAAAGTTTGTGACGTACACTTCTTCATTCTGATTGGTCGGTAAACCGAACCTAAGTGGGGAGGATGTAGCGGGGTACGTAGCCCTCGGTGTACCCTTAGCTACAGTACATGAAGTGTGAGACGTCACACTTCAGAAGTATGACATGTCATACTTCGGGATATTTGGTACAAGGTACAGTACCAAGGTCGTCTCAAAGCGAACCATTGGCTGATGACATTGCTTTTCTATAGGTGACTTATAGTTTGTATTTAACTCAAGCTTAACCTACCTTTAAATATACTCAGTTTACAATCTACCTTAAATTGGTCACTTCGCTCCCTTTGGTAAAAGGGGACCTGTGAGCTGCCGCTCCCTGAGAGTTTGTATACTCTCGGAAGCGAATTTTCAGGGTGCTGTGTGACAACAAATCTCGATTTATCCAATTAAATACCCTCTTTGAGTCATCGAGATTTAGACTAATGTTTTATCAAGCTACGTCGAATTACAACAATGACCATCACTCATGCTCTTAAGCAATATACCGGTATCTACATTTACTCTGATACAGGAATAGTACTACAATGTAGCACGGTTTTAAATACACATGTCATTCTAATCACAAATCTCATCTAATCAGCAAAAGTATATTAGTAATTCCCTTATATGCCAAAGAGCACAACCCTTTTTCAAAACACAAAAGAGCATGAAGACTTGTTGCTATTTCAGGACCGCATAAATCAAACACTCAACGTCATTGCACATTTCACCATGTCACCGTTAAACCACCTCCGCCTCGCTCCCCTGACCGAAGAAGAAGACATCCGTCGTGTCGCTACGATGGAAGCTGCTTCTTATCCCGCTGACGAAGCGGCTACTGAGTCGGGCATACGATTCCGACAGAAAAACGCCGGTCCGTTCTTCTGGGTATCCTACCTCCTTAAAGACGACCAAGAATCCGAGACCCTCGTAGGCTTTGTCAACGGCACATTGACAGCCAAAGATCAGCTAGATGGCGAATCCATGAGTCGACACGACCCACACGGATCGCTGCTTTGTATCCACTCGGTGGTGGTGGATCAGACCTTTAGACGTCGGGGACTCGCCACGCAGCTACTCAAGCGATACGTGGAAGTCATTCTAGACTTGCAGCCTCACGTGAAGCGCATCATGCTCATCTCCAAGGCCAATTTAGTTGGCTTCTATGTGAATTGCGGGTTCTCCGTGACGCGACTGTCGCCGGTTGTACACGGCCAAGATCCGTGGTTCGAACTGTCGCTGGACTGCAAGAAAGCGAGACTACCGCCATTGATTCAGGTTGGATACGTCGGTGAATGGTATATATTTATGACAATACTGAGTGCCTGGTACTGTTTTTTTCTTAGGTGGACGCATTTTCCAGCGAGCCTTTTCAGGGCAACCCGGCAGCTGTGGTGTTGCTCACTTCTGCAGTGTACCACAAGGAAGGGGCTTCGGAATGGATGCAGCGTGTTGCGATAGAGAACAACTTGAGTGAAACTGCTTATGCTGCTCCTCGCGCACGTACTTCCCAGACTGCTAATGACGTCGTCGAGTACGATCTGCGGTGGTTTACTCCAGGTAACGACACAAAATCGCAAAAACTAGGACACTTCTGTGTGGTTGTGCTACAAAGGAGAAAATAATTGCGAATCAATAATAATTGACTTGCAATATATTTTTTATTATTGGGACTAAATGCTCAAGCCCACCTCTGTTACAAATACGGCGATCTTATTGGGAA